CAGCATCGAAATACCACGCCATCGCTGACATCTGACGGTTATAAGCACACCTCAGTTTTCGGCATAATCATCTTCCTCTCAACCAAATGCCCTGCACCTCTGCGTCATACGTAGGCAGTAGCAACACATCGCTTGCGCAACACTAGCTCACATCGCTAGACGCAGAACGACGTCAGAACGAAAGCAGGTAACTAGCTCTAGATTGCACACATCAGTAATACCGTGGCCATACCACACAGCCACAAGGGCTCGGTACTTGGCACATCAGCAGCACAATCAGACATCACATAGATTATATAAAACATCATCATACTCAAATTAGCACACAGTAAACGGTACAAACATTGATGAGCGCCTGTGTCTATACGATAAATGGTAACTATCTTCGAATTGTGGGACCTGTAACAGTCCGTTTACTAACAAACAGAGAACCTTTTACGATTAAATTGCCGTAATATGCGAACAGTAACAAATAAAACTATTTCATATCATTTCAAGAATTCGACTGGTTTGGATATTCTGGTATCCCAAGATATTGACTATGGATGTACAAAAGAGCAACAATTCAAAAGCCGGCAGACGGTCCAAGAGGCTCTATTTTGTTTATTGACGACATAACTGGTGACCCTACTTTTGCATATATCAGATTTTAAGAGTCTATCACGCTCAGTTTTTAGTTACATTGCTATAACAGTAGTGTAGAATTCGACGTGCGCGGATAATCTAATATTCAAGATTTTATTACTTTATTTATTTATATTATTTCATTGTTTATTTTATTACGTTTCAGCACAACAAATTCGAGGTTGATATGAAGATTAGGAGCAGCATAGCGTTTTTTGTTGAGTCGCAATTACGTTTGTTGCTTTCTTCATCATATAAATAGTTCCTTTACAGCCCGTTTATGCACGCTACTATGTAATCGAATGCATTCATTGTAATCACTTTCATAACTTCAGGGCTATCTAGAAATCGTTTATTCTATTCAATCTTATATTCCAACAGAAGTGCATAAATACTTTTTCAGTATTCACTGCGTCTTCATTTGTGAGTATAAAATAAAATTATTTATGTTCCTGATATAAAGTAAGCTTCAGTTTATTGTTCAAAATAAGTAAACGATTGTAACTTTTAAAAGTACTAGACAAATGTTTTGGCTTCAATTCGTTCGTCTCTTAAACAGTCACAATCTGCCAGCACATATCCATCAATAAGAGAAGATTAACCTTTTTTACCATTTCATGATAATTTGCGAAAGTCCTTCCATTCCAAATTGTTATCAGAGAAATGTGAAAGTTGTTCATTTTGCATATTGATTGATATCTGCTGCTGATGCAATGACTGTTCAAATACAAGGGACGCCGAACAATATATTAACAGAATGTGGAATTAAATAAGTTACTTATAAAAATATTCTGTGTATTAGACAATCCTTTGTTTTATTATGAATTAAACTTAGCAGAATTAATGCAACTACGAAGTGACAAACATATAATAAGATACAATAGTTTTCCTTCTTTGTTTTTGCAAAATGATATATAGACACCTTTTCCTGTATGTAATAATTTATTGGAGACGTCTTGTTATACCATGTGTAATCGAATGCTGAGGGGTAGGACAACCGTGTTGCGAAAAATCGCAGTCTCTTTAATCATGTTATTTGCTCGACGGATGGAAGAGTCAACATTGTGAGGCTCGGTGCTTTTTTTGTTCTCTCCGTCCGCTGACTCTTCTCCAGAAGCAGAACAAAATAACGTACCAGATTTCCCAAGCGAATAAATTACGGCTCCTGCATCAAAAATTGCTCAAGGGGCCTCGCGGCATAATTGCGAGCACATACCTTGAACGTTGGGGTGCAGTTTTATCCCCGATCAATGTATGCGGAATTTGTGGTGTATACAATAATTTCCCGGATGATTTTTTTGAAATTTCTTCCATTTCCCTCCTGTCACTCCACAAATTATCAATTATTCATTCACATTAGCAGCATTTATCACTATTACTACTGATTGTAGAGTAATCCGTACTATCAATTATTTTGTTACTACAAGAGTTTTTAATCCTAATTTCCTCACGATTATCACTCCCCTATAATTTATTCTGGCTTGGTAACCATGGTTAGGGAATGTTAGTGAAATTTCATTTATTTTACAATGAATGCAAGTGTTTGGTAAATATTTTGAAGTAAGAAAAGAATGATCTCAAATGACGGTTTACAAATCTTACGCATATTGCTTGAACAATTAATTCGAATTATGGTTTAATATCTTGCGAATCTTTATTACCGCTATGTCTGTAATGAATTCATGATTGGTAATACGTGACAGTTTCCGATTAAAGTTTTATCTTCTATAGCAGAATTAGTATAACACTTTGAAGCAATTATGTTAATTTTTGAGTATAAGCTTTTCTGTTGGGTACATTTTTGTCAAACTATCTTGCTTTTGTTGGGGTTTGTGTTTTTCATCCTTGATATGTTCTAATCTTGATTTATCCCTCCAGTAATCTTAATATAGTGAAGGACCAGTTTATTAGGTCTTTCATTTCGATTCCCGCGAAACTCTTTACTCAAATTCATTTCATCCGCCTGCGCAAGATCTGTATACGTTATTAAAATGAGCGGCTGAGCACTCTACAAAGAGATGCAACACATATTCCAGGCCACTTGAACGTAATTTTCTCAGTTTTACAATTGCGCAATACATTCGCTGAGAGCATAGATCGTGGTTGCACAAGCAAGCGCCTGGTTAATCATAGAGCTGTAGCATCTTTCATTATGGAATACGCCCTATGAAAGCGCACAAATGAAAACACAACAACTATGATTGCTTTTAGAGTTGAACAGCACATAATTATTTTAACCACGGAGGTGAAATTAATGATATGCGTTCCAATCAATATACTCATATCTATAGAAAAGCACATAAAGTTTAATTTTTCAAATATCAGTAACAAATTCTTTGTATTTCTCTGAAAAGAATGTAGGTATACAGGGACAAAATCGTGACTCTTAAACGATAGTTTTTTCTCGCGTGTGCTGGCTTTTGTTTTGTTTGAAATAGTGAAATCGTGGTTGAACAATTTACATTCCAACGACGTTTATTTTTCTTGAATTACCTGATTCTCGATACGATCCTGGGGTCTCAGTCTGGCATAGCTCTTTACAACTTGCACACACCGCTTTCTGCCCAATTTATGCGGCACCTCGAGCCTTCAATGCACCTCCTCAGTCCGTATACCCAACGTTCTGTGTTGCAATTGAAAGATCTGCGTTTGATTGCCGCATGATGGATGAGCTTTCCGTCTGTACCCTATTCTCAAGCTGTCTCAGACAACGTTCGGAGGATGCCGAATTGCCCTACAAAACGGCCCCACTCGATTCGCAAACCGGTATCCAAATCGATGTCCGTGCTCGCCCGCACGGCCTGGCAGTCCGGCGGGAATGAGATTCGCAGGCGAGCGGGACAGTGCACACACTTCTCCGAATAGAGAGTGTAACGATTGTCAGCACAAAATGTTTTTGAAACATCGATATTCTTAAGCAGATAAATCGATATTATTACATCGATGTTTTTATTTCGATTTCACATCGTTAGATTTGTTCAGAAACGTCTATGTTTTCAAAAACAATTTATCAATATATAAAAACAATTTCAAAAACAATGTATAAATAAAATTTTCAGTATCTATTTTTGTGGATTACTCGCAATAATCAGACGGTTAATTGTCGGTTAATTAATTAACATACGATTTCCCAACTGTCATTACTGTCGAACTCCAGGCTGGAAAAAACCGTTTGCTGTTGGCAATCTTTCCCTAGGGTAATTACATTTCTTGATTATTTTTTAGGTGATAATATCGTTAAACTGCATTTTGAACTTAGACTACTTGAAACATTGATTATAAAATGTAGATGACAGTCAAATTTAATGTATAATATACTTAAAACTAATATTAAGGTGTTATGTATCGCTTTAGAACCAATTTTACTTCGAAATGTTTCATGAAATTTAAAAATCAATATTATAAACACCGATGTTTTTGACGATGTTTTCATCGACATCGAAAACGTTTTGGTGATGTATCGAAGCATTGAATTTTTGCTGAAATTTGCCATCACTAGTAATGTTACAAGACTTAAATGTTATATGGTTGTAAATATTTATGTTATTGTAATCAAATTAGTTCTAAGTAACGTGGTTCACGCAACGCAAGAACACTGTTTCTAGCCTTTTCCAGACAGAAGAACCATAATCCCAGTAGTAAAAAATTTATATATGGAAAGAAGGCT